TCAGCTGCGGCAATCTCATACTATTAAGCTAGGCAGAAGTGAGTAGTCTTTGTCGATAGATCTCTATTTTAGTATTTTGTCGAAAGCGCTTTTTTTCACGAATTTATATATTACGAATTTATTTGACGATTTTTGATTTATATCACGAATTTATTTGTTTTATTATTGTTATTCATTGAAAAATGAGTCTCAGTCAATGAGTCTTTATTTGAATTTAAATTTATTTTAATGACTTAGTATTTACTAAAAAGATGTAATTTTTTTATGTGGATTTGAATGATTGTTTTGAATTCTTAGAATTTTGTGCATTTGCAATGCATTAGTAGAGCGAAGCGAGCTTGGTTTGCGAAGCAAACCATATATGATTGCGTAGCAATTTTCGGGGGTTGGCGAGCGTTAGCGAGCAAGTTGCGCAGCCCGCTAGTATTTATATAAATCGTAAATAACATTACTGTTAGCGAGATTTGTGAAAATTACTTCTATAGTTATTCGAGAAATAAAATAAAAACAAAAGTCAATCGTCCATTGTAATTTGCATACTGTAAGAATAATAATGTAGGCAAAAATTTTGAGGAATGTTGTCTGAAATCTCAACTTAAGTACCATATATTTATGTTTCTTATACAGCACCATTATTCTTAATTATGGTTTATTTTTCTTTATATCCTGCATATGTTTATTCAGAAGTTCAATTTCCGTGTTGCAACGGAATAATAAAGATAAACAATCTTCTAAATATGAATTAATTTATACCTTAATCCCGTAAGCCTTTAAACCTATTCTCAAACCACAAAGTTATAGTACACAAACCGAAAGTATTAAAAAAGATATATATTGCCTGTAAATCTCGCCAAGCTTACTTCGAACTATCTATTCGTCCAAGCAATATCTGTGTCAAAGAATTCCTTTTTAAGTTGTTTTACGCTTTGCTTTTTTGGCAACAGTCTCTTTTTTGTTGTTGGATGAAGGATAAGCCATTTCTCACGAGATCTCGCCTATTCACGCGAGAAAGTAGGGAAATGTTGCTATGGTTACGGTGGTAGGATTATGCAAATAGATCAAATGCGAAGTGGGTACTCCTGGCTTATCAAGGTGCCGTATCATCCTGAATTCACAGGAAGTGAAGGGATGGCGGTTTAGAACAAAAGGACAAGAAAAAAAGTAGAAAGGATGTTCTGGAAAAAGAATATGAAAATAAAGTTTTTAGTCTCAAGGTAACATTCATATACGCGTCGCACTTCTGCTTGGCGAAAGGATTTGTTTTCTTCAGACCATGTCTACTTGTTGGGAAATGGAAGTAGGAAATGTTACCGTCTAGAATACTTGCGTTGTCAAACTTTAAACACGAATTCTTTCATAAAGAACGAACTTAAAATAATAAATTCTTTTTCTAAGATTTAATTCTGAATAAATATTTGTTTTACTTTATAATTATTTTGATATGAAAAAATATTTTAACGCTTATAGCCTTTTTTTTTGCAATAGTTAAAGTATGTATTAATTGAATTTTTAATTAAAAGAAGCAAGTTGTACAATGCGCAAGAAATAATCGGACCACTCTGAATAGCTTTTGATCTAATAATCGGATCTTAACGTTTTAGGACTCGATCTTAATGTTTTGAGGGGATGATCTCAAATAGATTAATTAATTATTGCAATTTGCGTTACAAAATCAAACCACAAAAAACGCATTTCTCTGAATAAACATATATTTTAGACGGATTCGAATTTATGACTCCCAAAATATAGGAGGTAGACCGAATCTGGGAAACATGGTTCAAGATTTGGACAATAGAATGGTATTAAGTTTGGACCCTTAATGTTGAATTAATTTTGTGAAATTTTCACCATATCTAAAGAATTTTTCGAGGAAATTGAAGCGTTTTTGCACATAACTATTAAAGTCGTTAAGCCAAGGATAATTCCATGCAAAAAATGATGTTATATATATTTTATTGCTTCATTTAAAAAAAAAAGTCAAAAATATTTTGAATTGCAAGGTATACAATTTTTGACATCAGTTTAAAAATTGTAATTTTACATGTAAAAGTACACAATGTGAGCGAAATCAGTCAAATAGTTCCTGATAAATCAAATTTTTGAAAAATCCTACTTTTTAAATTCGATTTTTCAGACAAGAAGACATCAAAGGAAGCATAGATCAGATATTTTTTTTGTACAAGAGCTTTGGATAAGACAACATGACAACAGCGAAAATATTTATTTTATTTCTTGAGTGACGGTGACGCATATTTTTCACGAAATGACAATACACCATTAATAAGTTCACACCATTAATAAGGCATAATCCGTAATAAAAACTTATTTTATGCTTTTGAAGTCTTTACATAAGCATTTTCTCTGAGTTTTGCTTTGATTCTTTATTATTAAGAAACGAAGAAAAATATGACTACAGCTAAAAATTTTATACTAGGATAATGCCACAATTTCTTTTTACAAAAACTTTCCTGTTCGGGTTAGATAGCAGAGTAGCAAAGTGCAGCGGAAATTTCGTCTACTGACTCAACTCCGTAGCCTTGTAATTTTGAACCCAATCCAGAAGACAAGGCAACTTCTGGATCAAGTATTTTTGTTAATTCAGCCGACACCTAACCATGTTAAAATTGGCTCCTGTTCACACTCTCATAGATCTCAATACACGTGGGTGACCAAAAAAAAAAAAGAAAAAAGAAAAAAAAAGAAAAAAAGATCGAAAGCAAAAAATCGAGCTGGTCAAAGAAAGTAAAGTACCAGGTGTGGTGATAGACTTCGTTAAGTTTCTGAGAATATAGAGCAAACTGGAATCGTTTTTGTTGTTGTTGTCATAGGCTATTAAAGCAAGGAGTGCGATTGTTCTTGCTATCCAGTGGCACCATCTTTGTTCAGGAATTCGATTTCTGCCACTCCCATATGTCACATCTGCTTATACGGCGGAGCTATTCCATTTAACCATTCATTAATCCACAGATCGTAATTTCGATCTGATCCAGAGAACGATCAATCTACAATTCGGTACCCCCAAAGGTACAGAGGTATAGCTTTTGCATAGGAAAGTGTAGAACTTTGTGACCAGACAGATTTACAGAACCCTTTGCATTTCAATGTCACTTCTGAGAGACCGCGACAGTCACCACTCTAATATAGAGAGAGAGCTTTTATGCGGCTGAAACCGGTTTACATTTGTTTATGTTCGTACATTAATTGGTTAACATAGTAATGCAAAACGTTAAC